TGTACCTGCATGCCAGCACAGTGTGTAAGTATATTTAGGTACAGGTACACATAAGTACAATTATCAGAGTACATATAAAATATGCAGTAACTTTAAAACGCTTAAAATTTTGGAAAGTATCTGGACGTAATAGAGATGTGCTCATGGAGAATGTAAAAAAAACTAGGTGGGGTGTGTTGTACTTGAAAAACCGCTCGCCATATGGCAAATTTTGGTCATAATTTGAAATCGCCTTACTAGCGGAACGCCGTAAGGCAAAACGCTGTAAAGCGGGCCCCTACCGTACTATACTACTACTAAATATACTCTTACACTATTTTGCTGTCTACTGCTTTACTGCTGCAGGAGGACCCCACTTTACAGCATTTCACTAATGCAGTGGTTTTCAATTATACCCATTCTTCATTTATTCAGACTTCCTACAATAAATATATTCACCGCTTACTATAAGCTAAGGGCAAAAATATTTTATGGTAAGTAATGTGTGTACTGTATGTGTTATCAGGCTAATATATGCATTTGAAAGTAAAAAAGAGGGTTTGTTTCACTTTACAGTGATCTCACCCCCCTCCCCCCTCTTTACAACAGTAGCCTGGAACTTAACCTGCTGTATCAGTAGGACTCTACTGTATACTAATTTACTAATTTATTACTTTACTACTAAATGGTTTACTTCTACTTTACTATTGCTACTTTGATATTACTATACTACTCAGTAAATAACAAAAAAGGCACAGTACCGTGACTGGAACAATACACAAATACAGTGGGCTCCTGGATATCGCCAGTGCAGAAATTGGCCAATTTGGAAGTCCAGCACTTTTTTCGGCAAAATTTTTCACTGGATTTCAGCCATCCCCTCGGAAATCATTGGTACGAGACGCGTCCACCCATCGGCAACGCGCTTCCTCACGTATATTACACTCGGTCTGCACATCTCTCTCATTGGGTTAGGAATACTCCATGCGTTCATCCATTGTTTTTGGTGCTTGTTTTTTGATGGCAACTGTGAAATAAGCCACCATGGGGCCAAAGAAAGTTCAGAATGCCAGCCCTTTGGTAAAGAAGGTGAGAAACGCTATATAATTCAAGAAAGAAGTTATCACAAAACATGGAAGTGGCGTATGTGTGGCAGAGCTGGCCAGGATGTATGGTAAATCTACATCAACAGTCAGTATCCTCCTGTTGAAGAAAGCGAAAATCAAGGAAGCTGATGTTGCGAAAGGTGTAAATATGCTAACGAAACAGAGGTCTCAAACAATCGAGGATGTGGAGAAGTTGTTGGTGTGGGTCAACAAGAAATGGTTAATGGGAGCATTCGTTGATGAATTCAAGGGGTATGTAGAGGCTGAAGGATTCCTCTCCCAACAAGTGTTCAGTCATGACGAAACAGGCCTCTTTTGGAAGAAAATGCCAAAGAGGACCTACATCACGTAGGAGGAAAAGGCACTGCCAGGATAGGCTAACTCTCTTGTTCTGTAGTAATGCTAGTGGGGATTTCAAAATGAAGCCTTTACTGGTGTATCACTCTGAAAATCCTTGAGTGTTCAAGAAAAGTAATGTCATGAAGAGTAACTTGTGTGTGATGTGGAGGGCTAACAATAAAGCATGGGTCTCGAGGCTAATTTTCATTGAGTGGGTCAATGAAGTGTTTGGCCCTAGTGGGAAGAAATACCTCCTGGAAAATAAATTGCCACTTAAGTGCCTCCTGGTAATGGACAATGCTCCTGCTCATCCTTCAGACTTCGAGGATGAGCAGTGTTTCAGAGGTGCTTTGAAGTGACCTCAGACACTGAATTAACCCTAAGAGAGTTTTGGAGGAATCACTTCAATATCTTCCATTACATAAGCCTTATAGATAAGGCTTGGCAGGGAGTGACTTTCAGGACTTTGAACTGTGTGGAGGAAATTGTAGCCAGAATGTCTTCGACAAGGATTTTGAAGGGTTTGAGGCTGACCCTGATGACCCTACGCCTATTATGGAATCTATCGTTTCATTGGGGAAGTCCATGGGGTTGGATGTGAGTGGCCAGGATGTGGAAAAGTTGGTGGAGGACCACAGGGAAGAGCTAACCACTGAAGAGCTGGAATAGCAATAGACTGCAGCTGAGGATATTACTTCATAGGAGGAAGAGAGAGGGGAGAATGTGCCTTCTTCATTGATTAAGGACATTTGTGCAAAGTGGAGTGAGGTACAAAGTATTGTGGGGAATTATCACCCTGACAAGACTGTTGCAAGCTGTCTGCAACATGTTTAATGACAATGTCTTGTTCCATTTTAGGCAAAGTTTACAGAGATGCCAGAAACAGGCCTCTGAAAAGATTTTTTGTGTGATAGGGTTTCAACGACTCAAGCTGGTCCTAGTGCCAGTAAAAAAGAAGGGGCGTAACCCCAGAAAGGGACTTTTACTTGAAGTCTTTAAGGAGGGGATTCCCTGTCCAAACAATAAGCTCTCCTCCCTCTCCCCTCCTTACCTTCTTCCATATGCCAACAAGAGTCTTCAATAAAGGTATGTAATGGAAATAAATGGTACAAAATACCAACACAATGGAAATCTAAACACTTAAGCAGTATAATGTGATCCTTTATTGACAACGTTTCACCCACACAGTGGGCTTTATCAAGTCACAAACAGATCTACCTGGGTGAAACATACGTGGCTATATATAGGATGGGAATGCTGGGTCAGGTGGAGAAAGGTGCGTGTGACAATCTCCAAAGATTATCACGTGCACCTTTCTCCACCTGACCCAGCATTCCCATTCTATATATAGCCATGTATGTTTCACCCAGGTATATCTGTTTGTGACTTGATAAAGCCCACTGCATGGGCAAAATGTTGTCAATAAAGGATCACATTATACTGCCTAAACTTAGTTTATATTTCCAAAGGTATGTAATGTTCATTTATTATTAAAATTACTGCTTTATATTTCTTATTGTTTTCTGTATGTATTCTGTACGTATTTCTGTAGGTATTCTTTAAAAATGTATTTTTTGTTAATATTTTTGGGTGTCTGGAACGGATTAATTGGATTTACATCATTTTTTATGGGAAATATTACTTCGGTTTTCAGCCATTTCGGATTTAGACCAACCTTCTGGAACGGTTTACGGCTGATTAATGGGGCTCCACTGTAACCCGCACATAAAAGAGAGCAGCTTATGACAACGTTTTTGTCCAGCTTGGACCATTTACTAAGTCACACTAACAAAAAGGAGAGGAGGGAGTATATATAGGCCAGCAGACAGGTATGGGACAAGACAGGTAGTAGGCAAGGAGGAAGAGAGGTGGTGGTAGTAGTAGTAGTGGAGTCAGTCAAATACTAAGAAAGAGGAGCACTGCAAGGGAGCTAGGGGCCCACAAAGGGTAGAAGCAAGAACACATAGGGAGGAAAAATAAATAATGACAAATATCCAAGGCAGAGGAAAGAAAACCCAGAGGAGAAAGAGGAAAAGGGAGAAGGGGAAAAAGAATCAGGTTAAGTCACGGGTGTTCTGAAGTTTGGAGCATTCTACAATGTAATGGGAAAGGAAGGCATCTAGAGAGACAAAACCAGGACTAAGATTCATACAAGGAAAGTTGTGTGTAAGGGATGATTCAACCTGATGGCAACTGTGAAAGTTAAAAGCAGGGTACACAGTTTTAGCAGAAGACCAGTCAATAGGATGACTGTGATCTCTGACATGACAGAAAAGAGCATTGTTGGTGTCAGCAAGCCTAACACTATTGTGCACTCTGAGTCTGTCAGAAAGAGAACGGCCAGTTTCTCCAAAGTACTGAAGAGGACAGGAGGAACAAGAATTAGTAGACACCAGGAGCATCTATAGAGGGAGGGGAGGTATGAACTAGATTAGTGCGAAGAGTGTTAGTCTGGCGAAAAGTAAGTTTGATGTCTAAGGAATGGTGAGAGTTGTTGAGATTAGAAAGACTGGAAATGTAGGGAAGGCAGAGGATAGGAGAGTTCCCAGGGGTAGAGAGTTTGGGAGAGAAAAAAGTCCGTTTAATACATGAGAAGACAGAGTATGAAATGGGAAGGGTAGCCACGATGGGAAAATGAATTATAAACAGTGGAAATTTCTGATTCATGGAACTGAGGATCACAAATGTGGAGAGCACGGAGAAAGAGGGAGATAAGAGCACTTTTCTTGACAGAGGAAGCATAAGGAAAGTAGTGAATGTACGTGCCACTACTACCTCTACCACTACCTCTCTACTTCCTCTCCTACTACCAAAACGTTATTGTAAGCTCCTTCTATGTGCGGGTTATTTGTGTATACTACTCAATACTTTACTACTACTAGACAATTATTTTAATAATACTCTGTCACTTCAACTTAACTACTTGACTACCAAGATTACTTCTAGCTGACTACTATTACTACTACTAGCAGTTGTTAGGGATTTCATGGCTGTATAAATTCTATAATAAGCCGCATTATTCTTGTGGGAGGGAGTTGAGTGAAGCAGAGCTTCCGTAATTGTCAGTTGACACAAGTCACAAATACTGCCATTCTTCTTTCCATTTCTTTGTTTCCAATGTCTTTTCTTCAGTCTCGGTACTTTTTTTCCTTTTACTGTATTTCTTTTCTGTGTTCCCCTTCTTATTTTAACCCCCCATATTTTATTCTGCCATTTTATTTACCTCCCTCATTCCTGCATCTCTTCTTTCAAGTACTAGTGATGAGTTTGTGAGAATCATCTATATAAAAATTTTTCTTGGGTAGTCTGTCAGGTATTGTGCATGAGGTGAAAAAAAATGTTATCTGGAGGATGAAATCCCCTCAAGGGAGGTTCCTTGGTGCTGGTGAGGGGCTCTTGATCTAGGGAATTGGATCTGTGCTCCAGTTCCCTGAATTGAGCCTGAATACCCTCCACCCCATTCCCTCCTCACAGGTGCTGTATAATCCCTATGAGTTTAGTGCTCCCCTATGATTATAATAATGGAGGATGAAATAAATGATTGTTTTTTCAAGCTTATAAGTTTACCCCTTCTAGGAGTGGCGGCCACAGCAAGAAACGTCGTTCTAAGTCTAAATCTCGTTCAAAATCTGGTTCACGCTCCAGGTCAAGATCAGGATCAGAGAGGTCTAAATCAAGATCAAGATCCAGGTCTCGCTCAAGGTAATTATTTTCATTAATGGGTTCTTGCTTATATTTCCACCACATAAATTTAGAAGCATTAAAGGCACACAGGTGTTATAGACAGAAATTATATTAGTCTCTCCTCAGTGATATACTTGTTTACCGACAACTCGGACTTATGACGGGGTCTCTGACCAGTATACATACCTAAAAAATGTATATTTAAGCTGATTTCCTTTATTCTGTTTATTACACTACAGTAGGGCCCCACTTACATGGCAGGTTTGGTTCCAGGCTACTGCTGGAAAGCAGACATTGCCGGAAAGCAGAATGCCATTTTTCCCACTTATAAATGCATACATGTAAATGCCAGATAACAAGTTTATACTAACATACTAAGTTAGCTATAGAACTATACATTAAAAACAATAAAAAGTAAAATACACACACAGTACACCCATTACATACCTTAAAATATTTGTAGCCTTAATGTAAGGTGAGAGGTGTTTTATTTGTAGGAAGTCAGGTTTGGGAGGTATGGTAGCCAGTCAGGTCAGCCCACCCCACCCTACCCTACCCACACGTAATATACTATGACATTTAATTAAAACGCCCCAGAGTGATAAAATACTGTACATATCTTTCTTTCAACACCCGGCCGTATCACACCGAGGCGGGGTGGCCCAAAAGGAAAAACGAAAATTTCTCCTTTTACATTTAGTAATATATACAGGAAAAGGGGTTACTAGCTCCTTGCTCCTGGCATTATAAAATACATATACAGTCCATTAATTACCTTAAAATATTTGTAGTCTCAGTGTAGGGTGAGGTGAGTTTTATTTGTAGGAAGTCAGGTTTGTGAAGTGTGGTAGCCAGCCAAGGCAGGCCACCCCACCCGAATCACACGTAATATACCTGACATTTAATTAAAGCGCCCCAGAGCAATAAAATATATATACAGTGGAACCTCTACTTGTGAGCGTGTCCATGTGCGAGTTTTTCCAAATACGAGCAGCCGATTGGTCGAATTTTTGCTTCCATACGTGAGCAAAATTTCCACAAGCGAGCACATCTCAAGGCAGGTTCCTTGACACTGGTGAGGGACTCTTGCTCTTGATCTTGGGAATTGTATCTCATTTGTTTGTTGGACTATCTTATTGAAACTTGGGCAGTGGATGATGGAAAGATGCTTCTTAACCTACACCAAAAATGAAAGAAATCTAAGCATAAATAATGAAGTTCACTTTTTGGCAATTAGCCACCCCTTTGGGGTAATTTTGAATGGTTTTTATGGTTGTATTCTCGTTTTTTTGGTCTCGTTTGATAGAATGGAGATACAGTGGACCCTCGACCAACGATATTAATCCGTTCTTGAGGGCTCATCGTTCGTCAAAATTATCGTTAGTCGAGTTAATTTTCCCAATAAGAAATAATGGAAATCAAATTAATCCGTGCAAGACACCCAAAAGTGTGAAAAAAAAAAATTTACCACATGAAATATTAAGTTTAATGCAATAGAATAATTACAATAACAACAATAACAATAGATTAATAATAATAGAATAATTGACACTTACCTTTAATGAAGATCTGGTGATGATTGATGGGATGGGAGGAGGGGAGTGTGTGGATGGTGTTAGTGTTTTGAAGGGGAATCCCCTTCCATTAGGACTTGAGGTGTCAAGTCCTTGAGGACATTGTTTTTCTTGAACACTCTGGGAGTTTGAGTGATACACCAATAAAGACTTCACTTTGCAATCATCACTAGCATTAGCACACATCACCACTAGTTGCAGGCATTTTTTTAATTAAATCGTCATGCAACTTCCTAGCCTTTTCACATATGATCGCTTGAGAGATGCTATCTCCTGCTATCTGTTTTTCGTTTATCCACACCAATAACAGTCTCTCAACATCTTCTGTCACTTGCGATCTCAGTTTTGAAAACATAGTTGCACCTTTGGCAAGAACAGCTTCCTTGATTGCCATTTTCTTGGCCACAATAGTAGCGATGGTTGATTGGGGTTTGTTGTACAACCTGGCCAGCACTCCACTTTCATACTTAGCAATGATCTCTTTCTTCATATTCATAGTAATTCTCACCCTTTTTGCTGTAGGGTTGGCACTAAAGCTTTCTTGGGGCCCATGGTGACTTATTTTGCAGGTGCAATCACTGAAAACGTTGTGATAATATGAAATGTTCTGATTTTATGTTTGGATTGGACTGCGGTGGCTGGCTGGCTTGTAAACACTGGCCACAAGTGGATGCGTCTCGGACGGAACGAATCGCATTGGTCAAGTTTTTTAGCGCTAGTAGAGGCAAAATTTTTGCGTTAAAATGTATCGCTAGTCGGATTTAACGTTAGACGATGCCAGCGTTGGTCGAGGGTCCACTGTATATTACAGAAATAGATATGATTTTAATTGCTTTCACGATGAAAAGTACCTTGAAATAAGAGCTCAACCTAGGAGACATGGTCCATTGCTTGGCTGTTTCAGAGTAAACAAATGACATCACTGTCCATTTCAACATGTAGTTGTGAATGGGTTGACATTATTTAAATTGGCATCAATGAATTACTGCTGTTGATGAATGATCATTTATTTTGTCAGCAATATACCCATAGAATTGATGGGGGGAAAAAGGTGAGTGGTGCACTGAGGAGTCTGTGGAGACAGGGGAATGTATGAGAATATAGTTATACCAATGCTCGTATATGGGTGTGAAGCATGGGTGGTGAATGTTGCAACAAGGAGAAGGCTGGAGGCAGTGGAGATATCATGTCTGAGGGCAATGTGTGGTGTGAATATAATGCAGAGAATTTGTAGTTTGGAAATTAGGAGAAGGTGCAGGATTACCAAAACTATTATCCAGAGGGCTGAGGAGAGGTGGTTCAGACATGTAGGGAGGATGGAACAAAATAGAAAGACTTCGAGAGTGTATAAATCTGTAGTGGAGGGAAGGCGGGATGTTTAATGTTGCAGTTTTATAACTGTAGTATAAGTGTGATTCTGGCAAGACAGTGATGGAGTGAATGATGAAAGTTTTTCTTTATTGGGCCACCCTGCCTTAGTGGGAGATGGCCGATGTGTTAAAAAAAAAAATTAAACTGAAACTTACAGAATATTATACAGCATAATTTATATCTATAATATACAGTATAGAGTACATACAAATTAAAAATACTTCACATATTAATATTAAACCTAAGCAACAAGTTTATCCCTATATAGAAATTTATCAGTTGGCAAGACAAAATTAACCAGTACTGTACTAAGGAGATTTTATTAATAGGTATAATATAAATTACAAAAAGAAAATATAAATAATGATTACAGTAAATTATATTTGGTGCATGGAACATGAGCATTTTACAAAGTATGTAGAGGCTATACCTTAACACAGTTTTATTAAGTTTTTGAGTGGGTTTGACTTTATGCAGTTTTTTGTTTCTTCTGATAGAGCATTCCAGAATTTTGAAAGTTTCATAAGAGGGTGAGTGCAGGAGGAAAGAGATGCAATTAGTGGAATGATTAGGAAGAGAGGGTGGTAAAGGATAAAAATTGGGATAGGAGAGGTTTTTACAGTGTAGAAGAGATGTTAAGTGGTGAGGGAGCAGGAGGAGAGGCAGTGAGGGAGTGAATGAGGATTTAACAAGTTTTGCTTGATACTTAAGTTTTGGAGTTAGGTTAAAAGGTGGGAAAGCCTAGAGAACAAATAAGTTGAAGGTTAAAAAAAAAAGTTGCTAGATGAGGAGATGGAATATTTTAAGTTGTTAAATGATTAAGAAAGGGGTTAGTAATTTCATGCATTGGGAAGGGACATAATTGTGAGGAAGAGCCAGATTTGAGTTGGAGGGGGAAAGTGTGTGAGGCATTGAGTAGAATGAATGGGGGCAAAGGAGGATAGATAGGATCAATATAAATGTTAAAAGCAGGTGGTGATATAGTTTTGGAGTGGGGCATTAGCCCAGTATATGCATGAAAGGGGGGTTATGGTACTGCAGGATTGGCAGAAGACATGCATGGTTTCTTTGCTTAAGGAAGAAAGGGAATAAAAGTGTAAGAATTATACAGGAATAAGCCTGTTGAGTTTTTAATGGTTTTTAATACTTGACGTGCTGTTGGAGTGTGAGCAAAGTAACATTTATGAAGGGGTTCAGGGAAACCGGCAGGCCGGACTTGAGTCCTGGAGATGGGAAGTACAGTGCCTGCACTCTGAAGGAGGGGTGTTATTGTTGCAGTTTAAAAACTGTAGTGTAAAGCACCCTTCTGGCAAGACAGTGATGGAGTGAATGATGGTGAAAGTTTTTCTTTTTCGGGCCACCCTGCCTTGGTGGGAATCGGCCAGTGTGATAATAAAAAAAAAATGGTACACAAGCCCTTCACTCAGTGATTTCTTGCGAGTGAACAAGACAGATATGTGTGGCACAGTGCGTTCTAATCGTAAACATATGCCCAGGTTCAACGCAGGTGCTCGTGGTGATGACGTGCAGGTGTTTACTGCCAATGACACCATGGCATTATGGTGGCATGACAAATGAGATGTCACATTGTTGACAACCATTCACCGTAACGAAATGCAAGACAGTGGTAAAGTTGATTGAGTGACTAATGAACATATTCGAAAACCAGTGACAGTGATTGATTATACACAAAACATGCGCTTGGTTGACAAATGTGACATGCAGATTGGCTTTGTTGATTGTGTTCGTAAGAGTTACAAGTGGTACATGAAACTTTTTTTCCATCTCATGGACATTTCAATGCTCAATGCATATAATATGTACCAAATAAAGACTAGCAACAGACCACCGTATGGTGAATTTTGTTTGTCTATTGTCAGACAACTCATAATGAAGTACCAGGTAACAACACCTGCTATACAACAAGGTCCTCGAATTCCTCAGAATATACCCAAGCGTTTGAGGAGGGAAGGTGATCATTTCATAATACAGCTTCCTTCAACTCAGAAGTAATTTGCTCAGAAGAGATGCATTGTCTGTGCACAAACAAAACAACGGCAACAAAGACGCAAA